TGAGTCCGTAAGGAGAAGGGCGGGATAAAAATTAAATAAATAAATAAATAAATAAAATAAATAAATAAATAAAAACTCACCTGCTGGCTGAGTTCTTATTACTAAGTCCAAAATAAACAAAATGATACACAGGTTGAATGACTCCAGTGTCCTTCCCTTCCGCACAAAATGAATCAACTTTGTTGATTTTAGTGCTGAGGGCAAAGGATGATGGGGTTTTCCTTCCCTTCCACGTCTCGATTTTCTCCCGGTTCAGCCTTTCTAACAATTATTAGCAAAATCAGCCCTTTCACCTAATCCTCAGCCACCAGCAAGAAACCACTTAGAAGATGTTCCTGGCAGAGAGCTTGCTCCTGGCTGTGGAGGCTCCACGTTATCAGGGTGACTAACACTTCCCAAGGGAAGAATCGACACCTTGAGTGAGGTCCGTGAGTTTTTCTAAGCCCAGCAAAAGGTGGTGTTTTGTTTTTTTTTTAAAGATACCTAGAGTTAGAATGTACGGTCATGCGGACTTTGTGTCTTGTGGCAGGGAGTTTCGCCGTTAATTTGGGGGGCGGGGCTACTTCAAGAGGGATTTTGTTCGTTGAGTGGCCCTGTGTTTTCAAAAGGAAAAAAGAAGTGGGAGCGAAATTGTAATGGGAAAGAAATAATTGCCAAAAATCAATGGAATACACCAGGGCTGAATCTTAATGCTGCCAATACATTTAACCCAGGGATCTTCAAACCTGGCCCTTTGATGACTTGTGGACTTCAACTCCCAGAATTCCTCAGCCAGGCACTACCTGTATTGAGATGGTCACTCAATAAAGACCATAACACTTCAGGGTTCCTACTCTTAAGTTTACACCACTCATTAACTTAAATCTTTCTTGTTCCTGGATTAATAGGGGAGCTGGTTCAAGGCAGGAAATCCCCTTACTGATAGGGAAGAATATTGGAATCGCAAAGTTGGAAGGGATCTTGGTGGTCATCTAGTCCAACCCCCTGCTCAAGCAGCAGAACCTATTCCATTCCGGACAAATGGCTGTCCAGTCTCTTCTTAAAAGCCTCCAATGATGGAGCACCCACAACTTCGGGTGGCAAGCTGTTCCACTGGTTAATTGTTCTCCCTGTTAGGAAGTTTCTCCTTAGTTCCAGGTTGCTTTTCTCCTTGATCAGTTTCCATCTGTTGTTTCTTGTCCTGCCTTCGGATTCTTTGACACCCCCCCCCCTTCTTTGTGGCAGCCCCTCAAATATTGGAAAACTATCATGTCACCCCTGGTGTTTCTCTTGGTTAGACCAGACATACCTAGTTCCCGCAGTCTCCAGGATATCATAGGTAGGTTCATCCAACTGGCTAAATGTAATTCCTGATTTCTAGGGTCACAAAACACCACACACACACACACACAAAAGTAATCAAGCAGGGTTTGCACGTGTGAAACCGTCCAAAAGCCAACTGACTTCCAAGTTCACTGTCCAATCTCTTCCGAAAAGCCTCCAGTGACGGAGCATCCACAATTTCTGGTGGCAAGCCGTTCCACTGATGAATAATTATTCTGAAAGTCAGGAAATTTCTCCTTAATTCTAGGTTGGACCTCTTCCTGTCCCTGCCCTCAGGTACTTTGGAGAGCGATAGCTCAACCGGTTGAACTTCCCGTCTGCGTCCCAGGCAAAAGCTGCACCGCTGGGATTTCTGCCTGGAAACCCCTCTTCCCCAAAAGCTCAGGGAAGCAGAATAAAGGGGGGGGGGTAGCGCCCCAATTGTACTCTGCCCAAGCATCCATGCCCCATTTCCCGTGGGGCTCGGCAAGCAACCGTTGGTGGTGATTCATTGTCCATATCCTTTTGGCAACCGATTCAAGAGATGCCATTCCTGGATTCTGAATCACCCAGAAATGCACAAACTGGGGTTGGGGGGGGGACGGGACCTGCCAATCGGTGCCTTCATTTCCTGTCCCCCCCCAGCCCACCCACCGGCCCTGTGGAGGAAATGGGGTAAAGTGAGTCACTCTTTCGCCCCTTTTTCATCAGCCAGTTATGAATTATTATTTCTTTTTTTGCATTTTTTGCCGCGAAGAAACGTGCAGCGCTCATATGACCCGTCCGGGCACGTGTAGATGCTTCATTGGCCCGGGGGAGGGTCCTGCGACCCCCCCCTCGCCCGCTGTACCCTCCAACCCGCCCCCGGGTGGGCTCTCGCTTCCATTTTCCCCTGCAGAGTCGTTGTGGGTTTGGGCCGGACCGATGCCCTCTTTTTACCCCCACGAGAGAGGACCCCCTTCAGGCAGCAGTCGGCGTATCGGAGGGTCTCGTTCGCGGAGCCATGCAAAACCGGGACGGCGGCGGGGTTGAATTCGATCTTCACTTGCCCGTGCAACAAATCGAAGAGAGCCAGTGGATCCGGAGTGGATCCACAAAGGGGTGTGTGTGTGTGTGTGTAAATAAACAACTGTGCTGAATTTCGGTCTGGAGCTGCTATTAAAGAAAAAGAATCTAGCACGTTTATTTTCTTAAATGTCAAGGAACTGATCATAGAACTAGTAATTTTTTCTTTCTATTCTTAATTTTTTATTCTGTTTTATCCTTTTATCTCCTTCCTTCCTTCTTTGTTCCTTCTCTCATCTATCTTCTTCCTTCCTTCCTTCCCTCTCCTAATATACGGAGGAACAAAGCTGAGGGATGTTTAAGAAAATCACACTCTTTGTACGTTCAGAGGCACTCTTGTTCTTCCACATTTCACCTTGATCCAGCTTGGGTAGTAGAGAACTCCAAGGTGTATGAAGGTGTATTTCCTAATCCCCCCCCCCAAATAAACTCAGAAGAACTGTTTTCCCTAAATTAACAGAAGCAACTGCATCTTCTGGAGGGCCCTATTCATGCTGATGTACATATTGCACCAAGTTGTAACACGGTTGCTGTGTGGCTTAGTCTGTTGTGCCCACCCAGCTGTTGTGGCTTTGCAATCCACGGTTCCAACGAACCCAATCGGTTGTGATTTGTTCAACAAACCATGTTTAAACCAGCTTGTTCTAACCGATAGGCCTGGGAACCACTCTTGGCAAGTTCAAAATCACATTATTTCTTGGTGCAAATTATATTCTAAACCCCAATTTTGCAGTTTCAAGGAGCTGAATGGCCCCCCCCAATTTTTTTTTAGCTTGGGTGCTTTTCAAAGGCTGAAAAAACTAAGTTTCTGATGCTTTATACTTTTTTTTAAACCCCCTTAAATGTGATTGTAATGCAGTGTGCTGGCCGCTTCTCAAACAGAAGACGCCAAGTTGTATTAAAATAGTTGGTGCATTTTTATTGCAAATCTGTGAAGGTTCGGAGTGATAAAAAAAATATTAAAAATAACCAACAAAAACACACAGGCTATTTACAATTCTGTTCTTCCCCTCTGCCAGTGGCATCTTGGCTGCATTTAAAATCAGCTTTACCATGGTATTTGCTAGCTTCCAGCTCTGCTCTGCTCCTGAGTACTTCAGGGCAGCTGCGTCTGCAGAAATTTACAGCGATAATTTGAAAAAGTAGCTTTTTCTAGCTTGATAAGAGACCATATGGTGGATGCAAACTATGGTCTAGCATGCTGTTTCTCAACCTTGGAAATTTTAAGACGTGTGAACTTCAACTCCCAGAATTCCCCAGCCAGAGGTGGGAGTTGAAATCCACCCTTCTTAAAGCATGATGGCTGGGGAATTCTGGGAGGTGAAGCCCACCCATTGTAAAGCATGCTGGCTGGGGAATTCTGGGAGTTGAAGCCCACCCCTTAAAGCATCCTGGCTGGGGGATTCTGGGAGTTGAAGTCCACCCCTCTTGAAGTTCCCAAGGTTGAGAAACATTGCTGTAGCAAACAATGGCTTATAAGGGTGAGAATCTGCTTTTAGCTGCGGTCAGACAACAAGGGCCGAAGAGCAGCTGGACAAGCTGGCTAAAAAAAATTTCCTTTTCCGCCAAGCGATCCGAACCCAGAGGCAACGTGACCCGAGGCTCAGGTTGGGACCCCCGAGCCAAGCTCCCTTGTCCTAACCGCAACTCCCAGGATGCCTTGCGCCACCCACACCTAGTAGACCTTGTTCCGAGCAGCTTTGCGTCACGGTGCAGCAGTGGGCTCGTGTTTGCAACGGGTGTGGGGAGGGCTGTGGAAAAGGGGCTCTCCCAGCCCCTCTCCCAGGGACTGTGTTTGTGTGTTTAAAAAAAAGAGAAAACAAAATGTAAAAAGTTTGGTTTTTTCCTTCCCTCCCCAGCCATGCTCTCCCTGCAAAGAGAGGGGAGGCTTGCTGACCGTCGGTACCCCCGCCCTTCCCGTGCAGGAGACTCCTGGGGGCTGGGCTCGGGGCTCGGGGTCTTGGCTCAGGGCCGGCAGTGACAATCGTGGGCCAGGCGGACCGTCTGGAGGTTCAAGGAGCCGTCCTCTTTAAGGAAGAGAAAGGGGAGTGGAGTCTTGCGGGACCGACAGCAGCGACTCTGGCGGGAGAAAGAAAAAAGGGGTAAATCGGGGGCGGTCTCCCCAATGCCAACTGAACCCTTGAGCCCCACTGCAGATCGTCCTGGCCTTACAGCCATTCGTTTAGTGACCGTTCAGCGGCACCGAAACGAGTGACCTAGGGAGCCTTTTTCACACTTAACGACCGTTGCAGCATCCCTTTGGTCAGCGTGATCCAAAATCAGAGGCTTGGCAACTGACTCGTACTTATGATGGTCGCAGTGCCTCCCGGGGGTCACATGACCCCCTTTAAGTGAATCGGGAAGCCCGATTCATTTAGCAACCGTGTTGCTGACTTAACCCCTGCAGCGATTCGCTTAACAACGGGGCTAAGAAAGATCGTAAAACAGAGGCAAGGTTCGCTTTGCAGTGGTCCCGCGCTTAGCAACAGAAAGGTTGGGTTGAGTTGCGGTCGTAAGCCGAGGACTACCTGTAGCCCACACAGCTGGGTTGAGTTTCAATCCTTTGGCCCCGGGTCTGGCTGGAGCCTTGGGCCAGGAAACACCCCCCCCCCGCACCGCCATCCCAACTTTACCTGTTGGGCATCCACCTGGCCTTGATGGCTTGGCTGCTGGAGGCCGCAAGCCAGGCTCCAGAGATCCAGCGGTGTCTCTTCTTCGATGCGGTGACAATGGCACCCCAGACATTCGGTGAAGGTGAAGGAAGTGGGGCTCAGCACCCAACTTTGCCAGCCGAGATCTGGGTGGCGGGTCAGGGGAGAAGAGAAAGACAGGAGCAGAAAGAATGAAAGGATACACACGTGCCCCTTGCAGAATACTTCCTTTTTAAGAAGAGACAGGACAGTCACTTGTCTGGAACGGAATAGGGCCTCCTGCTTCAGCAGCGGGTTGGACTAGAAGACCTCCAAGGTCCCTTCTCAGCTCTGTTATAGTGTATTTGTATTCCTTCGTTGTATTAGATCGATATCCCAGTTTTGATTTGGTACAACTTAAAGCATGCCTCCTCGTCTCTTTTCCCCATAACAACCATCTCTGAGTTGGGGAGAAATAATAATAATAACAACAACTTTATTGTCACTTTGAATGTACACCAATTGGCATACGTCAAAATGAAAGAGATTAATTGTCCAATTCATAGCTTGTGTGATCTTCTCATCAGCATCTTCATCCCTGCCCTAAACCTAGTTTCTAATTCCAGTTTAGCTTAATGGGAAAAAAGGGCTCTCTGTAGCATTCACACAAAGCCAGGATTAATGTGCAACTTCAGCCACTGGGGGCGTTGTTACCTTTTAAACCCCTTTTTTTAACCCAGTGATTTTTTAATTTTTTTTACTGTTTAATCTATTTTTTAACCCAAGGTATTTTTTTTACATTTAGCCTGTTTTTAAACCATTGTATTTTTCACTTTTTAATCTTTTTTTTTAAACTAAGGTATATATTTTTTTTACTTTTAAGCCCATTTTTAACCTACTGTATTTTTTACTTTTTAACCTATGCCATATTTTCTGCTTTTTTAAACCTATTTTTAATCTAATGCAGGGGCGTCAAACTGCCGGCCCGTGGGGCGGATGCATCATAGCGAAACTGCGCCCGCCCCATTGTCGTGATACGTCACGACACGTCACGTGACGTTGCGAGTTTGACACCCCTGATTTAATGTATTTATTTTTAAGTGGATAGACAATGGCTAATATGATGATGATGACCCTACTTTTTTTAACCTATAACAACAACAACAACAACAACAATAATAGTAATAATAATAAAGTTGGAAGGGACCTTGGAGGTCATCGAGTCCAACCCCCTGCTCAGGCAGGAAGCCCTACACCATTTCAGACAAATGGCTGTCCAGTCTCTTCTTAAAAACTTCCAGTGTTGGAACATTCACAGCTTCTGGAGGCAGGTTGTTCCACTGGTTAACTGTTCTAACTGTCAGGAAGTTTCTCCTTAGTTCCAGGTTGTTTCTCTCCTTGATTAGTTTCCATCCATTGCTTCTTCTCCTGCCTTCATGCGCTTTGGAGAATAGCTTGACTCCCTTTTCTTTGGGGCAGCCCCTGAGATACTGGAACCCTGCTATCATGTCCCCCCTCGTCCTTCTCTTCATTAAACTAGACATACCCAATTCCAGCAACCGTTCCTTATATGCTTTAGCCTCCAGACCTCTAATCATCCTTGTTGCTCTTCTCTGCACTCTTTCTAGAGTCCCAACATCTTTTTTACATCGTGGTGACCAAAACTGGATGCAGGATTCCAAATGTGGCCTTAACCAAGGCATTGTAAAGTAGTATTGTAACACACTATCCTGACTTAACATCATAGGTAAATTTTCAGCCGTCATGGCTTAGTCAACAAAACCAGGGCATAAACTACGCTTTAGCAGAAGGAACGTGTTATAAACCTAGTTTATAGTATCTTACTTTATTCAACCTGACTAATAGAGTTCAGGCAAGAAACCAGGCTTAAAAAAATATTACTGTCTTAGCAAGAAGGGTAAAGGAGGACATTTTGCACAGGTGAAACTTTAGTAGAAAAATTCCCCTGCTAAACATATTGGATTGTCATCTTAACCTATTGATAATATTGTGATATTAACATATTATTTATTATATTACCATCCAGGGTGACACGTTGCGAGATCTGTAAGCAGCCCCCTCTTTGGCTCACCAGTGTCTGATTGGAGATTACATCTGGGGAATCAAGAAAAGGCAGGTAAGAAACTTGTGAATACAGGCAGTCCTCGATTTACGACGGTTCGTTTAGTGACTTTGGTGGAAAGTTACAACAGCACTGGGGAAAAAAAGGTGACTTCGGAGCATTTTTCAGACTTACGATGGTTGCATCATCCCCCTTGTCCCCGTTTGTGATCTTCAATTAACAACCAGGTGACTAATTTTAACAACTGCAGTGATTCCCTGAACAACTGCTGGCAAGAAAAGTCGTAAAAGGGGGCAAAACTCACTTCACAAAGGTTTCATTTAGCCACAGAAATTTTGCAGACATAAGTCAAGGGCCACCTGTAGTTATTTAGAAAGAGAGAAATTTAAATGGTTCTCAGGCTATCTGTAGGAGTAAATCCTGAAGGCTGGCACCTTTAAAAAGCCAGGAAAAAGAGAGCAGGCAAATGTACGGGGTGTAATATTTGTGTAGAAGAGATACTGAATTAGAAATGTCCTTTTTTTTGTACAGATAAGGAAGGCTGGGTTTTTTTTTTCTCCTCTCCCCCTCACGAGACCCCCTCTGGCCAGCTGTTCTCCTTAGAAGCCAGTAAAGGGAGTAAAAAGATTGCTCCTGAAATAAGAATAACCCTGAGGATTTGCAATAAACACAGGGGGGGGGATAAATAGGCACCGTATCACATCCTTCCCCGAATGGCTAAAAGGAATTTACGGAGTTGGTGCATCGCCCAGATTGTCCAGGAATAATCAGGCAATGTTTGGGATCGGGACAAGGTCTGGTGAGCCAAAGGATGGGTGGGAATTTAATGTATAGTCTAGAGCAGGGTGTCTCCCTTTTGGCTACATTAAGATGGGTGGATTTCAGTGCTCCGAACTCCCCAGCCAGTATGCTTTATGATAGGTGAGTTTCATAACAGCATGGGACCTTGGAGGTCTTCTAGTCCAACCCCCTGCTCAAGTAGGAGACCCTATACTATTCCGGACAAATGGCTGTCCAGTCTCTTCTTAAAAACCTCCAGCGTTGGAGCACCCACAACTTCTGGTGGCAAGCCGTTCCACGGGTTAATTGTCCTCACTGTCAGGAAATTTCTCCTTAATTCTAGGCTGCTTCTCTCCTAGATTAGTTTCCATCCGTTGCTTCTTGTCCTGCCTTCGGGTGCTTAGGAGAATATGTTGACCCCCTTTTCCTTGTGGCAGCCCCTCACGTCACCCCAATCCTTTTTTTCCCCACTAGGCTAGACATACCCAATTCCTGCAACCGTTCTTCGTATGTTTTAGCCTCCAGACCTTTAATCGTCTTTGTTGCTCTTCTCTGCACTTTTTCCTACAGTCTCAACATCTTTTTGGTATCGTGGTGACCAAAACTGGATGCAGTGTTCCAGGTGTGGTCTTACCAAAGCATTATAAAGCGGTACTATCACTTCTCGTGATCTTGATTCTATCCCTCTGTTGATGCAGCCCAGGACTGTGTCGGGTTTTTTTGGGCAGCTGCCGCACACGGCTGGCTCATACTGAAGTGCTGGTTTACTAGGACACCTAAATCCCTTTCATAGTTACTGCTCTTGAGCCAGGTGCCACCTATTCTATACCTGTGCGTTTGGTTTTTCTGGCTGCAAGCCTCAATTGCTGCTTTTTAATTCATTTTATGCTTGGATAAAGCAAAGCAGAAACCGAATAAATAGTTTTCTGTAAGTTACCCAGGAAATTCCTTACAAGTGTCGTGTTGAAAATTTCAGTTTGCAAATGCATAATGGTAAGGATTTTCTCTGCTCCTCTAACCATGTCTGTTGAGGCATCTTGAGATCATCCCAAAGACCCAAACCCTAACCGCCGTAGCTATGGGAAGACTGCATTTCCCAGAGTTCCTTGCTAGAGACCAAAATAGCCTGGGAAATAATAGTTCCACCAACTTGGCCTGTCTTTGCCCCAGCGGTTCCAGCTGGGTGGACTTCTGCTCCCAGAATTCTCTCTGCAGCAAACATGCTGAGTGGGGAATTCTGGAGGTGCGAGACCACGTCGTTTGCCCAACACTGATTTAGAAAGTGATGTGACGTTTCCCAGGCTGAATTGTGGCTAAAAAAACCGGATGGACGCAAAAGCTGGATCCGTTATGCAGTGAAAAAAGCAGAAGTGAGCATTTTGCATCAACCATTTGATGTAATCAAAACGGATGGTTGTGGTTAATTCCCCAAAAGAGAGGGTCAGTGCTTTTTTAAATCCCCAAGCAAGCGGCCAGCAAAGTCTAGGCTATTTTCCGGTGTGAGAAAGGGCGCTCTTGGTACGCTCGTGCGCACTCTTATGAGTCAACCTCCTTGCGACATGTTTAATCACTGTTGGACTGAATTATGTCCATTTTTTCTGGTTTTGCATCATCCGTTAGTTGGAGTCACGAAATACAGGGAGTCCTCGACTTACGACCACATTTGAGCCCAAAATGAAACAGTTATTAAGTGAATTTTGCCCCGTTTTACAACCTTTCTTGCTGCAGTTGTTAAATGAATCTGGCTTCCCCCATTGACTTTGGTCAGAGGGCTGCAAGGATCACGGTCGTTAAGTCACCTTTTTTTCAATTCCGTTGTAACCCTGATTGGTCACTAAGTGAACTGTTGTAGGTCAAGGACTCTCTGTGGCCCGCCACGCATGGTTTAAACCCCGCTTTGATTCTGTTGGGATGGCCTGTCTGAGGAAAAAAGGCTTAAAATATTTAAGCGTAATGAAAATCTTAAACAGTAAGAATGTTTTGAATATTGGGGGGGGGGGGGAAACAAATTTAGATAAGAATTTTAAACAGGATCTATGATAAGGCCATCAAGATGATCAGTTAGAAAAGAGGTTTTACGTCAGTGTGGTTATGGTTTGCAGAAGTATTAGAAAAATGTCTCTATTTAACTGTTATTTATCCAAATCATAAGAATCGTATTAATTCAAGCATGGCAAAAAAGAACATTTTTTGGGAAGAAGAGAACATCAAGCAAAGCTATTATGTGGACTATAAAATTATAGAAACTAATTGTTATTGATTGTTTTTTAAATATAAACCCAGACAACACAACGTTTGCCAAATGTTAAGGTGATTATGTAAAAAGAAATAATAAAACATATTTTAAAAAATAATAATAAACCCACTTTGATTCAAGATTTGCAGGCTGGGCGACTGCATTGGCTAAGGCCTTTGGCGACCTGGGGAAATGAGTTGTGTGAACTCCTTGACTCTGAAATTTAGAGGTGAGCCCTGGCGCAGGAATCCCATTGGGGGTCTTGGGCGGGGGGAGATGCCAGACAGGAGAAGCGAGGAAGGGGCAGAGGGACACTTACTGAGAGGCCGTCCCCCAATGGAGGGGTCCAAAGACCTTCTTTCTTTGGCCCATTCTTCTCGCACCTGGTGGGTCATGCTGGACGTCAGCCGGGGTGGGTGGTCTAAGTGCAGCAGCTGGCACATCACCGTCCTGGCGCGCTGGAGGATTTGCTCCCGACAGCTGTGGGGGATACAATCCACAGGAGCTCAGCCACAGGTGTGGAACAAAGTTTGGGGTGCTGGAAAAAGGGGGAGAAGGTGGAGGTCTCCAACTTTCTCTTGGGTGCTGTTATTGCAGAAGCTGCAGCTGTTCTTGCCTCTAAGGGCAGAAGGGAATAAACGAAGAATCTCTCTCTCTCTCTCTCCATCCATCCATCCATCCATCTATCCATCATCTATACATATATCATCTCTCTCTCTGTCTATCTCTGTCTGTCTGTCTCTATCTCTCTCTCTATCTCTCTATCATCTATTCTCTATTATTTATCCATTATTTATCCATCCATCTATCCTCTATCTCCATTATCCATCCATCCTCCTATACATATATCATATCCATCCGTCCGTCCGTCTGTCCATATCTATCTATCTATCTATCTATCTATCTATCTATCTATCTATCTATCTATCTATCTATCTATCTATCTATCTATCTATCTATCTATCTATCTATCTACCTACCTACCTACCTACCTATCTATCCTCTATCTCCATTATTTATCCATCCATCCATCCATCCATCCATCCATCCATCCATCCATCCATCCATCCATCCATCCATCCATCCTCTATTATCTATACATACATCATATCTGTCTGTCTGTCTGTCTCTCTATCTAACCATCATCTACAATATTTCCATCATGTATCCACCCATCCGCTATCTATCAAATTTTGAAATCATCCCTCTCCCTCACAGAGAGAGTGTACAGATAAAATATAAAAAAAAAAGAATATCAAAGTTTTAAAAAGAGGCGAGAATGATTAAAATACAAACGTGAATGGTTTTAGTTTTCTGCATGCTGCAGATTCTTCCAGGTGGAGACACGCAGGAGCAGGGTCCTGTTAGAAACGTGGCAAACGGGTCCTTGAGTGCAAAGAGGCGCACGAGAGGGTGCCATCTTCCATCAGCCTTTACAAATCATTACCCTTGGGGGGCTTCCTTTCCCCACCTGTGCATGATGGGAGATGTAGTCTGGCAAAATCCCCTGAAAAATCCCTTTGAAAATATTACCCCACCCTCTCCCTTCGGTCGTCCTTCCCTTTTACTCAGAATTACAGTGCCCTCTCTCCATCCTCCCAGTTCCCAAATGTTCCCAGAACATCCTTCCGGAAACAGATCCGTTCAAACCTCGCTTCTCCCAAGAAAGCTCTGGATAAGCTGATCCGTGATACCTACCCCCAATTCTCCCCCCCCCCCTACCCAGTTCAGGGTACGTGTTTCGTCTTTCTCACTCAAGGGTGTGTCTGTCTTTGCAACAGATCTTTCGAGTCACCCAAGACTTTCCTGGCCAGGTAGGGATTTGAACCCAGCTCCTTCCAGCCAGCCCTCGAACCACCCTGCCTCTTTCCAGGCTCCCTGACATCTGGAGGGGCGGGGGGGGGGGCTTGCTGGGAAGCATTACCTTTCGTTGAGAGTCAGGGCAGAGATCTCCAGGGTCTGCTCTCCTGCGGGGTCTTCCAGCCGGAGATCGGAGGTGCCCCCGGGGGACCCCGTGGCCAGCCAGAGGTGCAGGAAGAACAGGAGGAACATGGCACCGGGAAGAGATGGAGCACAGGGACTGTCGGACCGGGCACAGGTGGGCGCCGAAAGCACCAAGCAAACCTTAGGTGTTGCCTTCTGAACAGGGATGCGAAAGGACGCTGGGAACAGACTTTTATCTCTCTCTCTCTCCCCCAGGCCTGCGGTGACCTTGGCATTTTTCAGACTCCTCATCCCCCGAGGCCAGCAACTGCAGAAGGAGAGTCGGGTGCCAGCTCTTTGGTCCTCGGGGGGCACAGTCGGGCATTCTTGCCACCCCCCCTGGGACCCTTCCTCTTTTTCTCCCTCCCTCCCTCCCTCCCTGCGTCCATCTCTCCAAAGGGTGGGCCCTGCTTGGAACGACAAGAGATCAGGGTTTTTGCAGCCAGGACTGCCAGGCTCTCAAATGGGAGAAGACCACTTGGGAATGGGGGGGGGGGGAGAAAGGCAGGGAGGTGGAGAGGGTGCCCCTGAACTTGAGCAGAGTGCGTGATAAACCTGGCCCCCAAAGGAAGCATCAGCACGTGGGGGGATTCTATGGAATGTAGACTAACAGAGTGGGAAGGGAGCTGGGAGGTCTTCTAGTCTAACCCCTTGCTCAAGGAGACCCTATAACATATCCGGACAAATGGTTGTCCAATCTCCTCCAGTGATGGAGCACCCACAACCTCTGGTGGCAAGCTGTTCCACTGATCAATTGTTCTGTTAGGAAGTTTCTCCTTAGTTCTAGGTTGCTTCTCTCCTTGATGAGTTTCCATCATTGCTTCTTGTCCTGCCTTCAGGCACTTTGGAGAATAGCTTGACTCCCTCTTCTTTGGGGCAGCCCCTGAGATATTGGAAGGCTGATATCATGTCTCCCCTCGTCCTTCTCTTCGTTAAACTAAACATACCCAATTCCAGCAACCGTTCCTTGTATGTTTTAGCCTCCAGTCCCCTAATCATCTTTGTTGCTCTTCTCTGCACTCTTTCTAGAGTCTCAACATCTTTTTTTGTATCGTGGTGACCAGAACTGGACGTAGTATTCCAAGTTTGGCCTCCCCGGTGCATCTTCAGCATTTTACCTTCAATGGCATCAGAGCAATTTTGATATAAAAAGGGAATTTTTCTGGGCATAAGCAGAGTAAAGCGAAAACACACACGTACACACAATCTTGCTCAGAATCCTGTGGGGTTTTTTTTCCCATCTGAGCCAAAGATGTATGGGGGAAAAAATCTTATGTGGTTTATGACCGTTGAATTTATTTATCTACCGATTTTCACCCCCAATCTAACATGTCTCTGTCCAGATCCTTGGAACCATGAGGACTAGAAGCTTCATTTCCTTCCAGAGGGACAGGAGCACAGATTGTTAGCCTGCAGAAGAAGGATCCGTGTGGAATCCTTCATTTCTCTAGGAGTGGCTGGGAATACCGTGAACAAACCATGGCTTATGCAGGTTAGGGAGATGGGAAGAGCGAAGGCACAGATGGGATGCTGTTGGAGTGGCTTAGTCTTGTTAGCCAGACCCTTGTGGTGATGACTGACGGCAGGAGTTGCATCGAACCGAGGGAAGGAAAAGTAGCGTAATTGTGAACTTCTTAGAGAAGGAAAGGAAAGGAAAGGAAAGGAAGGAAGGAAGGAAGGGAAAGAAAGAAAGAAAGAAAGAAAGAAAGAAAGAAAGAAAAAAGAAAGAAAGAAAGAAAGAGGAGAGAGGAAGAAAGAGGGAGGGAGGAAGGAAGGAAGGAAAGGAAGGAGGGGAGGGAAGAAGGAAGGAAAAAAAGAACTGAAGGAGGGAAGGAAGAAAGGAAGGAAGGAAAAGGGAGGGCAGGAGGGAGGAAGGAAAGAAGGAAAGAAAGAAGGAAGGATTGAGGGAGGGAGGGATGGAAGGAAGGAAGGAAAAGAGGAGCGAAATAAAGAAAAGGAGAGATTGGGGAGGGAAGGAAGGAAAAGAGGAAGGAAGGAGGAAGAAAGAGGTCACGTATTTCCCCTTTGGGCCACCTTCTGACCAGCCAAGTCAACGGGCAGCCCGATTCACTTAACAACCGCCCGACTAACTTAACGACATGCGGCGATCCCCTTAACAATGGCGGGAAGAAAGGTCGTAAAACGGGGCCCAAACCCACTTAACCAACGCCCCCCTTCGCGAGGGAAAAATTTGGGCTCCATCGTGGTCGATAAGTCGGGAGCCACCTATCCTTTATTTCTGAAACCGAGAGAGTCAACCTTAGGAAAGAAAGACGGAAGGTCTCTCTTTCTCCTCCTCCTCTTCCTCCTCCCTCGCCCCCCTCCCAGGCCAGACATTCCTCCCAAAGAGAGACCTCTTGTCTCCCAGCTATAAATAGCCCCCCCCCCCAGGTCCGTGGGGAGGAATGTTCCAAGGGGAAAGGAGCTCGGAAAGCCGTGGGGCCATCCATCGCCGGCCAGAGATTAGCTTTTTCACAAACAGCTTCTTCGGCACCTGCGTCCAAGGTCTCCGCATCAAAGTTCTCCAGGCGGTGGGCGCATCGGTGAGCTGCAGCCCAGGGGTGTGTGGGGGGGTCCCCTTTGAAGATAAAAAACCCCCAGCCCTGATTCGGCTGGAGGGCTGGTGGTGCCGGCTCTCCGGCCTTTGATGTTTCGGCACCCGCCCAGGTAGGCATGCCAGCATCTTCCAGTCAAGGCGATGGGCTGTTTACGTGTCTTTAGAAGAGAGAACAAAGCACCACAGGGACGGGAGGGACCTCCGAGGTCTTCTAGTCCAACCCCCTGGCCTTTTTAACCACTCTGCTCAAATGGACGTCCGGTCTATTTTTCTTTTTAAAAAAAAACCAGGGTATGGAGCAGCCACAACTTCTGGAGGCAAGCTGTTCCCCTGGTTAATCGTTCTCACTGTCGGGAAATTGCTCCTTAGTTCTAGGATGAATCTCTCCTTGATTAATTTCCATCTTTTGGGAGAATAGGTTGACCCCCACCCCTCTTCTCTGTGACAGTCCCTCAAATAAGAGAATAATTGAATAACAGACTTGCAAGGGGCCTTGGAGGTCTTCTAGTCTGACCCCCTGCTCCAGGAGGAGACCTCATTCCATTCCGGACAAGCGGCTGTCCAATCTTTTCATAAAAACCTCCGGTGATGGAGCACCCACGATTTCTGGTGGCAGGTTGTTCCGCTGGTTAATTGTCCTCGCTGTCAGGAAGTTTCTCCTTCATTCCAGGTTGCTTCTCTCCTTGACTGGTTTCCATCCGTTGCTTCGTGTCGTGCCTTCTGATGCTTTGGGAAATTGGCTGATCGCCCCTTCTTTCTGGCAGCCCCTCAAATATTGAAACACTGCTATCGTGTCACCCCAAGTCCTTCTCTTCGTTAGACTAGAGTCAGGGTAGGCAACCTTGGCTCTTTTATGAGTCGTGGACTTCAACTTCCAGAATTCCTGAGCCAACATGAGGGAAAGTTTGGCCCCCTCATGACTTGTGGACTTCAACTCCCAGAATTCCCTGAGCCAGCATGGGGGAAAGTTTGGCCCCCTCATGACTTGTGGACTTCAACTCCCAGAATTCCTGAGCCAGCATGGCTCAGCTTGGAAACCTCTCCCTTTCCCCTCAGCATGGCTGGCTCAGGAATTCTGGGAGTTGAAGTCCACAAGTCATAAAAGAGCCAAGGTTGCCTATCCCTATCCTAGGACGAAGATTAAGAGCAGGGGTCTTCAAACTTGGCTCTTTTATGACTCCTGGACTTCAACTCCCAGAATTCCTGAGCCAGCCACGCTGAGGGGAAAGGGAGAGGTTTCCAAGCTGAGCCATGCTGGCTGAGGAATTCTGGCAGTTGAAGTCCACCAGTCATAAAAGAGCCAAGGTTGCCTACCCCTGGACTAGTCTATGCAACATGTCCTGGATGACTGGATGAATCTTCATCGACGTATTGCAATGCACTTTGAGGAAGAGAGACCCCCGAGGTTGATGTAGCAGGAATTAGTAATTCCAACAACCTTTTGCCAACTGGCTTGCTCTAACTGATGAAGCTGCTAGTACCACTTTACAAAGCCTTGGTAAAGACCACACTTGGAACACTGCATCCAGTTCTAGTCACCACAATGCAAAAAAGATGTTGAGAGTCTGGAAAGAGTGCAGAGAAGAGCAGCAAAGATGATCAGGGGGCTGGAGGCTAACACATAAAGAACGGTTGCAGGAATTGGGTCTGTCTAATTTAATGAAGAGAAGGACGAGGGGGGACATGATAGCAGTGTTCCAGTATCTCAGGGGCTGCCCCAAAGAAAAGGGGGTTAAGCTATTCTCCAGAGCATCTCAAGGCAGGACAAGAAGCAACAGATGGAAACTAATCCAGGAGAGAAGCAACCTAGAACTAAGGAGAAACTTCCTGACAGTGAGAACAATTAACCAGTGGAACAACCTGCCTCCAGAAATTGTGAATGCTCCAACACTGGAAGTTTTTAAGAAAAAACCGGGCAACCATTTGTCTGAAATGGTATAGGATTTCCTGCTGGAGCAGGGGGTTGGACTAGATGACCTCCGAGGTCCCTTCCAGCTCTGTTATTCTATGTTCTATGGATGAGCAGCGAAACGCCTCAAACTAATAACAAAAATTAATTCCAGTTGCAAAGACTCAACTTTCAGACAGCTAAAACCTTCACCGACATTTGTTAGAGACATTTTTTTTTATTGTTCATGCTCCGTTATATTTATTTAGCCATGGCTGCAAAAGTTCCAAAAACTTTTTAAAAAGAGGAAGAGAAGCAGGCTGAGGTGCTTTTGAGAGCGAGGGCTAAAATTCACACCTCGCCTTCCTGTCGTTGCGGGTTTCCCCTCCACGCTCCCCCCCCCAGTCTTCATCTTTCTTTCCATCTCTTGTCAATACTTCCACAACGAAGCCAGATGCAACAAGACAGACCCACAATGTGGCTGGCCAACCTCGCGGCTTGCTTGACGCTATGGGCCTCATGGATGTCTGCCCTTCATGCCAACTTTACCCATCCTTCAGAGCCAGGCATGGTGAGGAGAGCCCCATAGGGGAAGGGGATGAGGGTGGTCAAAAAGAGGGAGTAAAATGGCTGTAATTTAGTGTTTTTTTCCCCCTTCTCTGGCCACCATTGCAACTTGCCTTTTAATAACAGCTTAATTATTTTGCTGTGCAGAAAATAATAGAATAAGAGAAGAGTTGGAAGGGACCTTGGAGGTCTTCTAGTCCAACCCCCTGCTCAGGCAGGAAATCCTATACCATTTCAGACAAATGGCTGTCCAGTCTCTTCTTAAAAACTTCCAGTGTTGGAGCATTCGCCGCTTCTGGAGGCAGGCTGTTCCACTGGTTAATTGTTCTCACTATTAGAAAAAATTCTCCTTAATTCTAGATTGCTTCTCTCCTTGACTAGTTTCCATCCGTTGCTTCTTGTCCTGCCTTCTGGCGCTTTGGAGACTAGGTTGATCTCTTCTTCTCTGGGACAGCCCTTCAAATATTGGGAAAAGCTATCATCTCACCCATCCTTCTCTTCCTTAGGCTAAAAAAACGCCTAGGAGAGAAGCAACCTGGAACTAAGGAGAAACTTCCTGACAGTTAGAACAATTAGCCAGTGGAACAACCCGCCTCCAGAAGCGGTGAATGCTCCGACACTGGAAGTTTTTAAGAAGAGACTGGACAGCCATTTGTCCCAAATGGTATAGGGTTTCCTGCCTGAGCAGGGGGTTGGACTAGATGACCTCCAAGGTCCCTTCCAACTTTTTATTATTATTATTATTATTATTATTATTATTATTATTATTATTATTATTATTATTAATTAGCTATTCATCATATGGTTTAGCCTCCAGTCCCCTAACAGAATAACAGAAGATTTGGAAGGGACCTTGGAGGTCTTCTAGTCTAACCCCCTACTTGGGCAGGAGACCCTAGACCATTCCAGACAAATGGCTGCCCAATCTCTTCTTAAAAACCTCCAATGTTGAAGCACCCACAACTTCTGGAGGCAGGTTGTTCCACTGGTTAATTGTTCTCCCTGTCGGGAAATTTCCCCTTAGTGTTAGTTCTAAATCTCTCTTGGATCCCCAGATGTGTTTGACAGATTATCGGTGTTTTAATTTTCTCCTGAGCTTTCGGGTGATTCTCCCTAGTATCGGAGGAGAGGAATTATTGTTGGTTTTATTTTCAGATTGGAAAATGTAGGCTGCTAACCAGTCAGTAGAATGATGGAGAATGCCGTTGGGTTTCCAGGGGTAAATCAGCTGCAGAGAAAAATCTAAAATCTAAAAGGAATTCTTGAGCAGCCTGAGAATAAAGTAGAAAAACAGAAGCCTCTCTGGCCCAGGAGAGAAATATTGCGGGATTTGCAAGACAGGGTTTGCATTCAACCGATGTTACTTCATTGTAGGATGACACCTTCCACATCTTTCTCCCTAATCTTTTTCTCTAATTTCCCCAGAAATATAAAAGAGAGCTGTGGCAGCACTGCATTTGCAGAAAACAAAAATCAGGCTGCGAAAGGAGATATTTTTTCTTTGCAATGTTTTTATTCTGACGTGGGCTAGCACTTTATGTTTTATATTTTAATCCAGATGGAGCTGACCCAGAGGTTCCAGGATTTCATGGTGAAATTCAACAAGACCTACAACAGCCGAGAAGGTAAGCAATACATACTAATTTCCACTTCTCCGTCTGTACCCCGGATCTTAAAACTAGCCCAATAAAGGGGGTTCTGATAAATCTATAGAAGAGGTTGAATCTAGCCATGTTCTTAGCATGGGTGAGGCAGTGGCCACGGCTTGAATAAGAAGAGAAGCAGAACTGAGCCCATCGAGGTAAGTATGTCAACTTGGAGTCCTCTAGAACCACGTGCCTCTCCATCATGGCAGATGGAAGTTGCGTGAATTTCAGCTCCCAGAATTTCCTAGCCGAACTGCTGGCTGGGGGATTCTGGGAGTTGAAGTCCACCCCTCTTAAAGCATGCTGGCTGGGGATTTCTGGGAGTTGAAGTCCACCCCTCTTAAAGCATGCTGGCTAGGGATTTCTGGGAGTTGACGTTCACCCTCTTAAAGCATGTTGGCTGGGGGATTCTGGGAGTTGAAGTCCTCCCCTCTTAAAGCATGCTGGCTAGGGGATTCTGGGAGTTGAAGTCCACCCCTCTTAAAGCATGTGGGCTGGGGGATTCTGGGAGATGAAGTCCACCCATATCAAAGCATGCTGGCTGGAAAATCCTGGGAGTTGAAGTCCACCCCTCTTAAAGCACATTGGCTGGGGGATTCTGGGAATTGAAGCCCACCCATCTTAAAGCTGCCAAGTTTGAAAAACACGGCTCTAAAAGTATCAAATTTCAACTGTGTTAATTGTCATCTGTCCAGCTGCCAATGAGAAGCACTTCTGTGCATCCCGTGAGCTAATATAAAATTATTTGGACTCCTGGGGGGGGGGGTAATCACCAGGGACACTAAAAGGATTTGGCTGCAAGACTTTGCAATTCCTGCTTTCTGGAACAGTTTTCTGACTTCCCAGCCTAAAAATACTAAAACACAGCTCCCCAGGGAGCAGAAAAGCACACAAACCAGGGTCTAATATCAGCTAAACACACACACATTTGTAACTAAGTGGGGTTTTCTGCTCCCTGCCCCTTTGATTTCTTGCCCTAGAGATGATGTACCGCCTCAAGGTCTTCGCACAGAACATGGAAATCAGCCAAGTCTTGCAGGACACCGAGTTGGGGACCGCACAATATGGGATCACCCCTTTCAGTGATGTGACAGGTAACACAAAAGGGGAAACGAAACCTTTGATCGATGGGGGTGATGAAGCTACAAGCCAGGATGCAGAATAACAGAATACAAGTAATCCTCAACTTACAGCCGTTCACAATTAATCCGTGGAACAGCTTTATGGGTGCACCAACACCTGGAGCTTTGAAGAAGAGACTGGACGGCCACTTGTCAGAAAGGGTCTAGGGTCTCCTGCTTGAGCAGGGGGTTGGACTAGAAGACCTCCAAAGGTCCCTTCCAGCCCTAGGATTCTATGAAATGGCGATGGGGAGGCAGGGCCCGAGAATCGGAAGGGAGGGGGGCATTCCCACCGAAGCAGCCAGCAGCCCTGTTTCCTTCGGTAAGTGAAATGCGTCGGGTAAACCGCGCAGCCCCCGTTTGCAAATTGGAAAGTGTGGATGCTGAGAGCGTGTGCAAGCAAAGACCCCAACTTGGCTTCGTGGTGAGCTGAGTGTTCCCGTCCTCGGCAGGTGGGCGGGCCGTCGTGCCGCTGTGGCAAGCAGGATGTTTAGAGACGAGCCTACCACAGGACCCAAGCTCGGTGCAAGGTCTAACCAACCGAGTTTCAGCCTTGTTGCATCAACAAGAATTGGAAGGGACCTTGTAGGTCATCTAGTCCAACCCCTTGCTCAAGCAGGAGACCCTATACCAATTCAAACAAATGGCTGTCCAGTCTCTTCTTAAAAACATCCAGTGTTGGAGCATTCACCGCTTCTGGAGGCGGGTTGTTCCACTGGTTAATTGTTCCAACTGTCAGGAAAATTTCTCCTTAGTTCCAGGTTGCTTCTCTCCTCGACGAGTTTCCATCCGTTGCTTCTTGTCCTGCCTTCAGGGGCTTTGGAGAATAGGTTGACACACCCCCCTTTGACCTCAAATAAGCAACAGATGTAAACTAATTTTTGTCGTTAAGTGAAACATTTGCTGGGTTTTGCCCCATTTTACAGCTGTTAAGCGAATCCCTGCAGTTGATAAGTTAATAACCCGGTTGTGAAGTGAAACTGGCTTTTCCCCATTGACTTCGCTGGTCAGAAGGTCGCAAAAGGCGATCGCGTGACCCCGGGACGCTGCAACGCGCCCTCAAGACTTGGTTGTTTCAGCGGGCAGGACTGGCCTAGGGGTATTTTAAATTGGTTTTAACTAAATTTTAGTAGAAGCGGCCTATTTAAATATTTATTTTTAATTATTCTCTTAAATTTTGTATTTTGTATTTGTATCAAATTGTTTTTAAAGTGGCTGTAAGCCGCCCTGAGTCCTCCGGGAGAAGGGCGGGGTATAAATATAATAAATCAATCAATCAATTAAATCAATCAATCAACGGTCGTTAAGTATGAACCAGCTGCCGAGCATCTGAGTTTGGATCGCACGCTCACAGGACTGCCACAAAGATTGTTGCTCTGAAAAAAACGGTCACAAGTCACATTTTTTCAGCGCCGCCGTAGCTTTGAACCGCCAACAAATGAACGTTGTAAGTCGAGGACCACCTGCAAGTCCTCTTGTGAAGAGACAGCAGACAGATTACAGGGAGCCCACAAGTTACCAACATTGATTGCGCTGAGCCTAAACCTAGCTAACGTGCCTCGAATCAGCCACAATGAGTGTGTGCCTCACAAGGTACACACAGCCTGGAGTTTTGATTTACAAATGCAGCTGGTTGCACCAAGCAAAGCCACCTTAACTCGGATCTAGCCTTTGCGTTTTATTTTCCTTTTTTGGGGGACTGAGTGCATCCAAAGTAACTCGGTTTGTAATCCTGGCTAAGCCCAGGCTTGAGGTGGCCCAGCTCGGAAAATGTCCTGAGCTAAACTGAAACAGCGTTTGCGGCGGTCAGATATGTTGTGGGAAGCTGCTGTTATCTCGGCGGCTGGCAGGAAACAGTTTAGGAGTGTCGCTTGCACAATCGGTCTTTTGTTTGGGCACGGCAAGTGTTGTGGGTTTAAGCGGCGGGTGTGTTATTCGCCCTGGTTGAAGGGATGGGCTGGAGGTGGGGGGGGAGCAATTTGGCTGGCACAAAACTGGGTGGAAATACCGAGCAAATGGTCAAAGAAAGTTGAATTCACCACCCTGGGGGGATTTTTGCCCGAGTCTCGCAAGGCTATCGAGCAGAATCAAAAGATCTGGCTTTAATTCGTGTCTTTTTCCTCACTCCTGTTTTTGTGAAGGTACACAACCCCCAAGGCCAGCCAAAGGAACTTGGCAGCAGAGGCTAAAAATTCCACAGGGACATCTCCCGCTTTGGGAGAGTAAAAATAGAAAAATTAATAAAAAAGCAGGCAGGCGGGTCAGCTCTCCTTGGTCTGTTTTAAATGTTTGACCGGGGTTGTTTTAACTGCCGAAGGGCGGGCAGGCAGGCAGCAGGCCAACCGGGAATGCCTTCAGCATCAACCCAAAGGGTCCTTGACTTACGACCGTTTGTTTAGTGGGTGCCGATTGCTGGCAGAGAGGTGCTTTAATTTAAATTTAATGCCGCAACAGGCAGACAGATTTAACCATGGTTTCAGTTGGGAAAATGGGAGCATGCTAGACTGGGCCAAGTCCGAAAATGCCTGGGCATTTCCTAAAACCTGGCCCTCTGACCAATCGGCCGTCCACAGACACGTACACATTAACAACACCTGTAGAGTACGCAACAGGGACAATCAACCAGCCCCAAAGAGAAGAAGACTCCAGCATCTTTTCACCAGTAGCCAGGACCCAGATCAGCCTACATTAGCTCCAAGGTCAACTTCAGACCAACGATCAAGTAATTCAATGGCCCAGTCAAGAAACTGCCACACAGCCATTAGTGAACAGCCCAACCAAAGAATCCCTCAGACCGCTTCAACTCACCCAGATAGACAAGACACCAGAATATAAACTAACGGCAAATTGCACTCCTTACTAAGCACTGATGATGTTCCCTAGTTGGGTCATGAAACGTCTGCAAGAAAACAGCCAAGCTCAGAGAGCACCCAGGAGCCCTCAATCCTCATCCTCCTCCTCCTCTCCACAAACCCCATTTCCTTCCAGCACTGATGAAATTACCTAGTTGGGTCATGAAATGTCTGCAAAAAAACAGCCAAGGTCAGAGAGCACCCAGGAGCCCACAGTTGTCGTCATCATCGTCCTCCTCCTCCTCCTCCTCTCCACAAACCCCATTCCCTTCTAGCACTGATGATGTTCCCTAGTTGGGTCATGAAACGTCTGCCAGAAAACAGCCAAGCTCAGAGAGCACCCAGGAGCCCTCATTCCGACCCTGGGCTACGAAGATTCCCCTTCATTGAACGTAACGTATGTTTTCTTCCCTACGCAGAAAGCGAGTTTGCTACGAGGTTTGGCAACCCCGTCTTGCGGGCTGCGCCTTTTGCGCCAACGCAACGACACCGCAGCTCCTCGACGGCCTCCAGATCCTGCGACTGGAGAAAGGCGGCGGTGTCCGCCGTGAAGGACCAGGTGAGTGTGGACAGACAAAGCGGCCAGGCTACCTTCTGCAACCACGACAGCCGTAGGAGAGCACAGCCGTGGTTAGAAATGGGAGGAGCCAGGCCAGATCCTAGTTTAACGTTTCCAATCTCTTTCCTAGGGAAAATGCAGATCCTGCTGGGCCTTTGCAGCCGTGTCCAACATAGAGGCCTTGTGGAAGATTCACCGAAATATTAACCACAGCCTCTCGGTACAAGGTAGGTCAGATGACGAAAAACGGGGAAGGTAGGGGAGAAAGACAATGTTTTTCGACCTGGGTAACTTTTAAGTTGGGTGGACTTCAACTCCCAGGAGTCCGTGTTGGCTGGGGAATTCTGGGAATTGAAGTCCACCCATCTTAATGGATGCTGGCTGGGGAATTCTGGAAGTTGAAATCCACCGTTTAAAGCATGCTAGCTGGGGAAATCTGGGAGTTGAAGTCCACGCATTTTAAATTATGCTAGCTGGGGGATTCTGGGAGTTGAAGTCCACGCATTTTAAATTATGCTAGCTGGGGGATTCTGGGAGTTGAAGTCCACCCATCTTAAAGCATGCTGGCTGGGGAATGCTGGGAGTTGAAGTCCATCCCTCTTAAGGCATGCTGGCTGGGGGATTCTGGAAGTTGAAGTCCATCCCTCTTAAAGCATGCTGGGTGGGGAATCCTGGGAGTTGAAGTCCATCCCTCTTAAGGCATGCTGGCTGGGGGATTCTGGGAGTTGAAGTCCATCCCTCTTAAGGCATGCTGGCTGGGGGATTCTGGGAATTGAAGTCCATCCCTCTTAAGGCATGATGGCTGGGGAATTCTGGGAGTTGAAATCCACCCATCTTCAAGCATGCTGGCTGGGGAATTCTGGGAGTTGAAGTCCACCCATCTTAAAGTTGTCAAGGTTGAGAAACGCTGGGTAGTTCTCGCAATGGTGAAGCACGGTGTTCTGAAAATTCAGATTGGGGAGTGGGGACGGGCTGGATGGTACAGACTAATTGGGAACCAGGGGAAGGCAAGTGTCTTCCATCACTATCTGAGAATCTTCTTCGAAATAATCTTTTTTTTCTAGAACTCGTTGACTGCACATATCCTTCCAGAGGCTGTCTAGGTGGCTACGTCTGGGACGCGTTTCAGTTTGTCATCAACAACAGTACGTAGACAGCCCAGTTTGTTGCGTTCTTTTGCGGCAGCATGTACGTGTGTTCACACAACTGTTCCCCCTCATTGGACTCTGGGCTGTGACGGCTCAACCCATGTTGGAGCCTCACAACAACCCAACAAGATGGGCTCTGTGTGAATAGGTGGGTGAATTGAACCTGGAGGCAGCGATAAGAAAATAACGTAGTTGGAAGGGACCTTGGAGGTCATCTAGTCCAACCCCCTGCTCAGGCAGGAAACCCTATAGTACCATTTCGGACAAATGGTTGTCCAGTCTCTTCTTTAAAACTTCCAGTGTTGGAGCATTCACCGCTTCTGGAGGCAGGTTGTTCCACTGGTTAATTGTTCTCACTGTCAGGAAGTTTCTCCTTAGTTCTAGGTTGCTTCTCTCCTTGCTTAGTCTCCACCCGTTGCTTCTTGTCCTGCCTTCCGGCGCTTTGGAGAATAGCTTGACTCCCTCTTCTTTGGGGCAGCCCCTGAGATATTGGAACACTGCTATCATGTCCCCCCTCGTCCTTCTTTTCGTTAAAGTAGACATCCCCAATTCCTGCAACCACATCTGTTGTTTGATGGAACAGCTCGGCTTGCTTGTAGTAACAACTGAGGGCTGTTTTTTGTGCAGCAGCAAACTCAGTTTGGTTAGTGAACTATCTGCGTAGTCGTTAAAACAGTTTCAAAGCAGGGGACTGTTATTTAACTGCCGATGTTAGGAAAAATCCAAAATAATAACGGTGATAAAACTTGGGCTTTTAGAAAAGTCTCGCTCATCTACCCCTTTCGTGGACCATCCTCTGCTTCTTTTCTAGCTGGATTATCATCAAGCAAGCTTTACCCCTACATAGGGAAAAACCAGCGCTGCCAGAAATACAAGGGGCGAAAACTAACCAAGATTGATGGTTACAGCATCCTTCCAAGGGATGAGAGATGTAAGTCTTTGGCAAAGGGCTGGATTGAGACTTCTGAATTATAAGGATCTTGGAGGCACCGGAAAAATTAAGCAGGTTTGCTAAAGATAAAAAACTTTCTGCAGATGAAAAAATTGGGGCGAGAATACAAACATTTATCTGCAAGTCTCTTTTACAGGTTTAACAAATTTTTACACGTTTAAACTCGGATTGCATTGATATGATGCCAAGCCAACAAACAACATGATGGCTTAATACAGGTAGTCACTGACGTACAATCCTTCGTTTAGTGACTGTTCAAAGTTAACAATGGTGCTGAAAACAGTGATTTACAATCGATCCTTGCATTTACAACTGTTACAGCGTTCCCACGGTCACGTGATCAAAATTCGGATGGCTGCAGCGTCCTGTGGTCATTTGATCGCCATTTGGGACCTTCCCAGGGGGCTTCTGATCAGCAAAGTTAAGGGGGGGGAGCCTGACTCACTTAACAGCAGTATGATTCACTTAACAACCACGGTGATTTGCTTATCCACCTTGGCAAAGAGGCCAAATTTGGTGTGACTCACTTTAAAACCGCGAATGGACATGGCAAACCACAACTGGCCCCAAATTTATGTGGCTAACTTTTGTTAAGTGAGTTTTGCCCCATTTTACCACTTTTCTTGCCTTAGTTGTTAAGTGAATCATTGCAGCTGCTAAGCTGGTCACCCAGTTGTTAAGTGAATCCCACTGCTTGTCGGAAGGTGGCAAAAGTCGATCACGTGACCCCGGGATACGGCAAACCATCATCAATATGGACCGGTTGCCGAGGGTCTGAATTTGGATCACGCGACTATAGGGATGCTGCAACGGCGGTGTGAAAAATGGCCCGTAAGTCCCTTTTTTCGGTGCCGTTGTAATTTGGAACGGACACTAAACGGACTGTGGCAAGTCGAGGGCTGCCTGTATTCGGGAGGGGAAATGAATTTAGCTCCCTAAATCCTGACTTTGCTCTCCTAGATTTTGCTTGTCCGAGCTTCGGTGTTAATTTGTGCTGCTTTTCTCCCAGATATTGCTAATATTGTGGCCACTCAAGGTCCCGTAACAGCTCTCATGAACCTCAAAGTCATTCAGGTGAGTGCCAGGTAACATTCTGGTGGAGAAGGAAGGGGAGAAAGAAACTTTTTTTGTTAGCTGGGTTCTTTTGTGGCTGAATTTTCCCAGCCTCCTAACCTCCCAAAGATGCTTTTTTAACGAGGTGACTGGACTTTCTTGTTTTTCTCTGAAGACGTTTCGCTTCCCGTCCAAGAAGCTTCATCAGCTCTGACTGGATGGTGAGGAATGGAAGAATTTATACTCCTTGCAGACAGCTGGTCGTTTGCCTTCTTTTAGAGCAGGGGCCTTCAAACCTGGCCTTTTTATGACTTGTGGACTTCAACTCCCAGAATTCCTCAGCCAGGCACATGTGCCTGGCTGAGGAATTCTGGGAGTTGAAGTCCACAAGTCATAAAAGGGCCAGGTTTGAAGGCCCCTGTTTTAGAGGGTCGTTGAGGCCACTTGGAGATTTACCCGTGTCCTCAGGGTTTACCTTAGTGGTGCAAATGGGTGTGGATCCTTCTTGGAACTGCTGAAAGGACTGTGTTCCACACCCGTTTGCACCACTCAGGCGACCCTGAGGACACGGGTAAACCTCCAAGTGGCCTCAACGACTCTCTAAAAGAATGCAAATGACCAGCTCTCTGTAAGAAGTATAAATCCTTTCACTCCCCACCATCCAGTCAGAGCAGAAGAAGCTTCTTGGATGAGAAACGAAACGAAAAACAAGAAAGTCCAGTTGCCTCATGAAAAAGCATCTTTGGGACAACCAGGAATTGGAGGACCGAGAATCTCCATAGACCTACAGCCTCCTAACCTGGATTAATCTGAACTCAGGTCAGTTCCAGTATGTATGTGTGGCTTAGTACCTTGACTTCACACAATGTTCGGGCAATCCAGGATGGAGCTGTTGTATGCCAAAGAAATTCACCGGGTGACTTTGAGGCCAGGCAATTTTTTTTTCTCTGCCTGGCCTTCTTCACAGGGCTGTTGTTATAGGCGTCCAAGGAAGGAGAGCCCCTTGTGTCTTTGGAGGGAAATAGCCTAAGAAAGAAATAGAGGCAGTCCTTGAATTACAACGGTTCATTTAACGAACGTTCAAAGCTACAACGGCACTGGGGGGGGGGGGAAAGACAATTTTTCACACTTGCGATCAAAAGCGATCAAAAATCAAACGCTTGGCCACTGACTCCTATTTATGACGGTCGCAACGTCCTACGGCCACGGGATCCCCTTTTGCCACCTTCCGACGAGTCCGTAGGGAAGCCAGATTCACTTAACAACGGTGTTACTCGCTTAACGACTGCAGGGGTTCGCTTAACAGCCAAGTGGCAAGAAAGGTCGTTAAGATGAGGCAACATTTACTTAACAGCCGTTTTGCTTAGCAACGGAAATTTGAGGCTCCCTTGTGGTCGTAAGTCAAGGACTACCCGTTTTGCACAAACCTAGGCTTAAGTTTGTGGCTCGCCGTTATGAAAACGCAGAAAAACGGGTCAACCCACCGAGGGTACGTGTGAATGTGGCCCCCCTGGAGCAGGTTCCAGAAAGGATGATTCAGAGAAGCAGAGACCTAGAGAGGTGACCGGAGTTTAACCACCATCCCTCTATGGCTAATCGTGGTCTGTTTGGATTCTCTCTGTGCGGCAGCATTACAAAAAAGGCATCATCCAGAGGGCCAAGGTGAGCTGTGATCCCAACTGGTTTGACCACGCGGTCCTTATTGTTGGCTTCGGTGAAGGTAAGCCATGTTTCCTTGGCTATTGGGGCCCACTGGATCCTGGCTTAATTCTCCATTCAGCCCTTGGGGGATGGGGGGGCGCATCCCACCAGTTTTGAGATGGGAATCATAACCCCAGTTTGAAGGCCGTTGGGTTGTTTACCTGAGGCAGTTAAGGCTTGCAATCGCCCAAGGTCCTAAATTTGGAGTTTTAACCAGACTTAGTCTATATTATGTTTATGTTTATTATATTTATATCCCGCCCTTCTCCTTGCGGACTCAGGGCGGCTAACAACCAGATAAAACAACTACAAAATACGAAATACTACAGTTAAAAACATAATTAAAAGACAAATATTAACAATTGGCCTAAGTAATTTAAAATTATTTTAAAACCCCCGCTAAAAATTTCCCCTAGGCCAGTCCTGCA